AGGAGGAGGAGAAGGAGGAGGAGCAGCAGCAGCAGCACACAGAAATGCATTGCCAAAAACACCGCTAGTGGAGACCGTAGACATTGTATGTCGCGCCAGGACTACATTCCTGCTCCCTCCTCGTGTCATCGTTACTCGTGTTCGCCCCCCTTCGCTTTCTGCTGCTCCTTACCCTTTCCCCTTTCCTCATCCTCCTTCTTCTCCTCCTCCTTCTCCTCCTCCTCCTCCACGTCCTCCTCTTCGTCGTCATCTTCCTCATCCTCATCCTCGATGTCATCGTACTCATCAGAATCATCTCAACCAGCATCAGCAGCATCAGCAGCAGCAGCATCATGCCCAATATCCTTCTCATCCTGATCATCGTAATAAATGATCATGGTCATCATGATCACCACCACCACCATCATCAACATCATCAGCATCATCATAACCATCAGCATAATCATCAACATCGTCATCATCATCATCATCAGCATCATCATCATAATCATCATCATCATCATCATCATCATCATCATCATCATCATCATCATCATCATCATCATCATCATCATCATCATCATCATCATAACCATCACCATCATCGGCATCATCATCAACAGCATCATGAACACCAACATCAGCATCGAAATCAACAGCATCAGCATCAGCATCAGCATCGGTATCAGTATCGGCATCAGCATCAGCATCAGCACCAGCAGCATCAAAATAACCACCACCACCATCATCATCAGCATCAGCATCAGCAGCAATAGCATCAGCGTCATCAGCATCATCAGCAGCAGCAGAATAACAATGATGATAACAATAATCATCATCACCACCACCACCATCATCATCATCAGCATCAGCATCATCGTCATCATCGTCATCAGCATCAGCATCAGCATCAGCATCATCAGCATCATCAGCATCATCATCATCAGCATCATCATCATCATCATCATCATCATCATCATCATCATCATCATCATCATCATCATCATCATCATCATCATCATCATTACCATCATCACCATCACCATCCTCAGCGTTGACATTCGCATCCACATGCATCGGGCCACCGTGCCGCACTTGCCCGGAGCGGGCCGGGAGGCGTCACGCGACGAAAACCAGCCGCAGATTATGGCACAACTCTGGGGCCCTCGGCCACCCCCTCGCTCTCCCACCCTGGCCATCGCTCGGACGTCCATTCCCTGTGATTTTTTCGGCTTCGTGCGTGGCTTTCTCGCCAAATGATCAAGGATGCTCCTCGATGGTCCTCGCCGAAGGAAAAAGGCACACGTCCGAGCGATGCCAAGCACCGGCTGAGAGCGCGGCTCTGAGCACTCGCGCTCCCGGAGAAACGAAGGGTACATATCGGGGGCCACAAGCGAACCCTACCCTTACCCCCCACGATTTCTGAGGGGGAGGGTGGGGTTCACTTCGCTCGTGACCTCCCGAACGAAGTGAACCCCACCCTCCCCCTCAGAAATCGTGGTGGGTAGGGGTAGGCTTCGCTTGTGGCCCCCTAACATACGGACGCCGCTGGCTCCCGGGACCTCTCGGGGGATGCGCTCCGACCAAACTCCCTCGACGGGAGCCCGACCGTGGCGGCGGGGGCTCCCCAGGACGAGCGGCGGCATCGTCAGCTCCTCCTCCCTCGAGCTCCGAAGCGAAAGATTGCA